ATCAGCGTTTCGTATTCGTATGAGATAAATGTCTGTCAGCATGGACTGGACCAGGTAGGAGTCTATACATCTGGCAATCGGGGAGTGAGGCTTTTGGTTGTGTGGTTTTAGCTTTTGTTTTTTTATTTAATCCTTACTCAGCTTTGAAGACAACAAGGCTGACATCCTTTCTGTAATGTGTGGTATTTTAAAACCTCCAGTTTCACCCATCCCCTTGCACTTTTGATGAATTTGTGCATTCTGTGAGCAGAGGAAAACTGTGTATTCGCTTCAGTTAGTGAATTTAAATAAAACCCCCTGTGTTTATTGATTACAGCAAATACTCACCTTTTGTGTTCTTTAGAAATCACTTGGAGGTTCAAGTATTTAATCGTGTAATAGGATTTTAAGACAGCCTAGTGGCTGGATTCAACTTGCATGCTGTAGAGGCCATCATGATCTATGGGCAGAGCCAGCATCTCTAAGGCGTGCATCTGAGCATTCAGGTGAGGCATCTGCCTCTCTGCATTGCCGATACAGAGAGTTTTGGGGTGTCTCTGCAGTTGCATGTTTGGTTGGCAATGCAGGGACCTGGCCAGTCTGCACCTCGTACTGTTACTGTCCTTTAAGACTGGGGTGGATACTGGGAGGAGCAGGACTCTGAGGGTGTCTGTGATATGGATGGCCAGCATGCTGGGATTGAATAGTGGATAAATTAACTGTCTTTTCATGGTAAATGGTCAGGAGAGGTTGTCTTGACTTAGACTTGATTCTAATCATTTTTGTTTCTGGTGGCAATCATATACAAGGGGCAAAGACTTTTACCATTCAGCTGGTGGTTTTGTTTTTGTTTTTTTTTTTTCTCGTGTATGTGCGGAGAACGTGTACAGCTGGTGCAGGCAGAGATCATTGCAGTAAGAGCTACTTAGAAAGAAACAACCAACCTAAAAAACCCTGAGGTGCAGAGGTTGTCCCTGACTGACCTGCCTCACTTGACCACGCGTGCGAGGGAGAGAACCCCTGTGTGCCTCTGCCACCCAAGTATACGCTGAGCCTGGCTGTGCCAGGGTTGCAGGTTTGTCTTCCATTTTGTGTCTCGTGTCTCTAGTTCTGTGAGCAGAGTGTGAACCATAATTGAAATAAGATGCACTTGAAAAATCTGGCAGGGATTTGTGTCATGATTGATAAAGGAGTTTTGTTATATTTGGAAGATGTAGTTACATAAATAGTAGTAAAATAAAATGCAGAAGCGAAGTAATTTTCCTTGTTTGGGAAAGCTAAGCAAAGGTTTGTTTCAGTTCTGCTGGTAGGGAAGGTGACACTAGGAAATAGTTAAATTTTGTATCAAGTTAGAAAGAAGTTACAAAGAAAACTAGAGCTTATACAAACAATTCTGCTCCTCCTCATTGCCTGAGAGGGACTGTGATCATCGTATTTTGTGACCAAAGGTGTATTACTGAAAGAACAGATGTTGCCACTTTTTTTTCTTTTTTACCCATTACGCTTTTAAACCTATTACTGAACTTTGGGGTTCAACATATTAAAGTTCATGTGCAGCTAGCAAAATGGTGCATTTTCTGTATAGAAGCAGAATCTTAAATTACAGAACTATGTAGCAGCAAATTATGTAGTACCTTTCCACAAATCACTGATCGCATAATAACAGTATATATTTCTGAGGGAATGGTAATGTGTTAAACACTTAAATATCCCAACCTTTGTTCATTCCTCATCTGGCATTGCATGCAGAGGAATGAGATACGCCATATAGTTGATCTTTTTCCAATGGTTTTATAAAGGCTGAAACATATTTTGTTTGGTGCATCACTGCCTTTTGGTAAAATGAGGTGAGAAAGTTCCTTTTTCTGTCATGAGCCAACCAAAACCCAACATGTTTTCTGGGTCCAATTTTGAATTTTTGTTCACATTACAAATCAATGTGAAACCACAACTATTGAGACTTTCTGGCATGTACAAAACATTTGTTCAGCTGGAAGATGAGTTGAGAAAAAGAACCAGCTGTGACGTGTCCAGATGGGACACATTGGAGTGCTGCGAAGCTGAACACCTGGCATTGAGGAGTGGGGAAATACAGTCCATCCCTGTGTCTGGATGCAGAGCATCTGTGAGAGTGGGCGTTGTGGCTTTGTCAAGGACCACTGCTTCTGAGATCTGGATTCTTTAACGCTGATGCTCTGTGAAATGTGATGCTTGGATGTTAGATTAAAAAAAAACCCCTATATTGCAGACTCTTTACCAGTAATTCATTTGATAGTTTCGGAAGAGATGATCTTCTAGTCAACAACGTTTGTAAAATTGTAACTGGTCTTTAACTGGACTGCAGTTATTTTTAGGTACCATAGCCCATGCCTGCAGCAATAGCCCCAGGCGGCTCCCAGGTGGTTGATCATTAGCGGTGGGGAGGACTTTTCTCCCACTTTGGAACCTGCACTGGTAGGACATTGCACAGAGGGGTTCTCAGGGCTTGTACGTTTAGTCAGGTCTGTTGATAAGACATGGAGAGTTTCACATTGCTTGCTTTCAGTATTGTTTCTGAATTATAAGCTGTGAATGTTGTTTTTTGGTATAACGGCAGTTTCTTTTTTTGGAGTCCGGAATCAATACTGACTGGATTGTTCTGTGCAGAAATTTGAAGATAGAATGAGGCGGAATAGTTGATGTGTAACATGTTGGTGTGTTACTGGTCTGCTGACAGCTTCAGAGATCATGTTTGTCTGTCTGCCTTGATAAGAAATGCTGTAAATCATGAAGACTTTTTAACCCATTATCATTTTTTACCTTGTTGTTACTGTTTGATTGTTCAGTCATCGGGAAAAAAATACATTTAGTTCCTTCTAAACCCTGGACCAACTCTACCATAAGGTAATACCACTGAGATGTAGGATTACTGCAGGGATTAACTGTAGCATCACTGTTCCTGCGTGCATATTTAATGTAAAAAGGAGATAGGTGATGTGGGGGAGAACCTGAATGTTACGAAACTGTTGCTGTTTTTCTTATTAGGTAACTTTAACACAGCGTTCTGCGACTGCAGATCTCTCTAGCAGAAATGAGAAATCAATTTAGTTCGGAGTCTGTATTAATAAAAATTTACTTTTGTTTGCCCCTATTTGTTTTATCTATCTATTTTCTTTAAATAGCCATGAATTAAGCTTTGCAGTGGGACTGGTAAGATCCTGCTGATTTTAGTGAGGCTTGACATGGTCCATAAATAATATAATGTATTTATGTTAGTAAGTGTTGTTGCTTTGAAATTTATCACATGTTCATAAATAACATTCTTCCTTCTCACCCACATCTCTGGAATTATTGGACATACAGCTGAAGTAGTGGCTTCAGTAACTTTCCTGATAATTGGATTAACAATTCAGTATGTAATAATGAGGCTTCTTTTAGCTGAAAATTGGGAATTAAAATAATGTGTATATCTCATTGTTACAATTCTGTGCTTTTGAATACTCCTGATATTTGATCCTTTATTTAAAAAACAAAAAGTGTTACCACGTAACACAGTCATCATTCTTATTTATTCAGAATATAGGTTGTTTTAGTTCAGTTTCTTATAATGTTTTCAGAGTTGTGCTCGAAACTTTAAAAGTGCTTTAAAGGATACCTTGCTAAAGTAGGAGAGAAGCCTATGTTTTTTCCAATAAAAATTAACTTTTGAAATTAATTTCTTCATTGTGGAAGGTTTTTTTTTTTTTAAGTTCCTCTTAAGAAAAATGAAAGTTTAGGCTCCCTTCCAAGCAAGTGTTTAAATGTGTGCTTAACTTTTAAACATCTGTGTAGGTTCACTGACTTCATTGAGTACACATGCCATGAGGCTTTTGACAAATTCACTCACTACAGCTTCTTCTAGAGCTGCTGCAGCGGGGCTGGTGCTGAGCAGAGGGAGTTGGGGGGCGCACAGGATCAGTGCCGATGAGCTTTGAACACAGCGGTGCCAGTGGTAGCACCACTAGCCAAATTAAATTTGCAGAACCACTGTCCTTGCAAAAGCTTGAGTGTTGTAATTTAGAAAAGTTGTAATGGTCAAAGATTGCTCCAAAGCAGTGAGAAAGCAATTTTCCAACTATGCCCACATTACTGGTGTGACCTGTTGGCCACTTCCGTTTCTGCCCTTGAGAAAGTTTTGCTTTTATAATGATCCTCAACCTGGTGTTCATGTGATACATACTGACTGTTTTGGCTAACCACTGACGTAAGTGCTGTTATTTAAGTAAACATGGTCCAAGTGCTTTCTGTTGCAACAGAATTGACAGTAGGGCTGAACAAACTTAATTATGTTCAAAACAGTACAGAAAGGGGGTTATCCTTTTCTTTTTTTCCTTCAGGGAATGAGTATGCAATATGGAGGTATCTGTCCTTGAAGCCCCTTCTTATTCTCCCCTAACTTTTAATTTTGCTAATTTCTTCCAAAACTGGCTGAATGACAGAAGTCTCACAGTTGCCAAATTCCTATCGCCTTTGGAGTAGCCCAGGCCTGGATGCAAGTGACCTTATGGGTTCCCAGAAATGTAGAGAGTGGTTAGGCAGAAAGGCTTTAGGACATTTGTCTAATTATAGATTGCTTTTTCTAATACATGTCTTTAAGAATAATTCTTTTCCAGATGCATCAGATTACAAAGTGAATCCTATTGATATCCTGCTAGATGGAAAACATGTATTTTAATAGCTATAACTACATAAATATATTTCATCTGTAATTAAATTTTGGGTTGTTTTCAGTAGTAGGACATGATATGACAGAATTAAATTAATCTGTACGTATATGATATGCATTTTAAACTAGCTACATAAAATCAATGGTAGATACTAGAAACGTCTTAATAACCTTCCTTACAAGAAGTGTATTTCTTTGTCATTTGGTGTTGATTAATAGACTGCTGTAGAAGATTGAGTAAGAGATTGTTATTAAGGTAAAATGGTATTAAAAAACCAAAGTTGACCTGAATCCTGTATTTGTCATTTTTGTGACCTTTATATTCCTTCCTCACTAGAACTATGCAGCCCTGATACAGCAACAAATCAATGAGGACAAAAAAAACTTGAGAGAAAAGACTGTATATGGAATCCAGCTCACAGAAGAAAAACTTAATGACTTCCGTGATGAACAGATTGGGCAGCTGAAGGAACTGATGGAGGAGGCTACCAAAGCTAATAAAAAAATCACTGTTTCTAAAGACTTGGAACACAAAAACTAAAAGATTTTAAAAATTGTTTTAATGCATACGGAAGCATTTTGAAACTTCCTTTTCCAGTTGGACTTGAATGTGATTTCTGTGGAATAATGGGTGCTGCTGATGCCATAACTTGTCTGAAATGGATGTCTTTGGCTATTTGGCTTTCTGTGCAAGAATAAAGCTTAAAATGGAATAATCACAAGAATTTTATGTTAACTGCAGTATTTTTTTTCTCCTAGTGAAAGGTAGAGACTTAAAGATTTCAGTAATAGTAAATTGACATTTAATTTTTTTTTTTTTTTATCTTGGCACCCATAGGGCAAAACATCTTTCTGTTTGTATATCATCCTCTGCCTTAATGGAAAAGATGCAGTTAGCATTTGTTTTCTGATGTGGATTGAGTAGACAAAGAACAAAGGTATGGTACTAGGGTGGGTTTGTTTCAGTGGAAAGAAATGAGCGGTATTAGAAAAACATACCGCTGTTGAAATTGAGAGTTGGTTTTCTTCTTGAGCTTTGTTGTGAAATATGCTTTAAAATAAAAGAGGTAGTTCATTATTAAATTACCATTATTAAATTGACCTTGAAGGAAGCACTGGCTTTTGAAGAAAATTCTACATTTTTTTCAAAGCTAGACTTGGATTATTGTTAGTATCTAAAATTTTTAAAAACGCTTTATGAGTTGGTTGTGCTGTAGTTAGAATTCAAAGACTCTTTAAAAGCTCAGTATCCCATATTATTCAATGTTTTATATAGACCAGAATTTGTAAACTCCTCAATCACAGAAATTATCTTGTTGATAATACTGTATGGCAAAAATGAATAATTTATTTTTAATAGGTTAAGTCTTCATCAGGACAATGTGTGGCTATTGTAATACTCGTACTATTGGGACTAAAGAAAGTTCTGGGTTTTTATCTATTAAGAAAAAACACACATCTTTCTGTGCAAAAGACAGCTTTCATTTTGTCTTCCAAACCTGGATTTATATTACTAGTTTTCTTCTATTTCTGGACTTTTCCCTGTCTGTAACCCACAGCGTGTTCAAGACAACATTATTTCTTTCCTCATGGGGGATGCACAGCTTTGACAAGTAAGCACATTTCCATCTGTCTCAAGTTGTAACAACATGCTGCTTGCCAAAGCTGCGCTCTTGGATCCTAACGGGGGG